TGGTACTCTGGGCGCTGTGATTTGGGTCTGTTGAGCTTCCTTGGCCGGTTGGGCCTTTTTTTGTGTAGTAGGAGTCTGCGGGCCGGGGTTTCCCGGGCCATATACTCCATCAATCGCCTAAGCCAGCATTTTATCAATTTCAACATATCCAACCAATTAAATTAATTATAGTGTTACCAAATTGGTATTTGAATTTCGCTCATGTTTTGGTCATATTTTGAACAATTTCTTTAGTAATAGCAGTACTAATAATACTTAATAATAGTAGTAATAATAATAATTCCTTTTGTGGTGTCTACATAATACTATAAATTTCTCTTTTAACTAATTAATTTGTAGTGTCTATTATTTTTTCTATATATCATCTTTGCAAATCTCAACTGCACAATTTTTACATTATTATATTTTAGATGCTAGTAAAAGTTGACAAAGTTATATCACTCGATCCACTGAACTTTGTCAATTTTTTGGGGAAAATGGAAACTAATAATCCAACTATTTAGCGGTCTTCTTACAATAATCTCACCTTATCGTAATTCAGGAATAATCTAACCTTTGCACCCCATCTTCATTCGTTGATCCCTGACCGGTTGATGACCTGCTATTTCAGTAATTTTTCATTTTCTTTGCAAATCATTCAACTATAAATCCCATCTTTCACAAATCTTCTCCAAGCGGTCATCCTCCTCCTCCTCCTCTTCCCCCTCCTCCTCCCCCCTCCCCCCCCCCCCTCCTCCTCCTCCTCCTCCTCCTCCTCCTGCTCCTGCTCCTTCTCCTGCTTCTGCTCCTTCTCCTGCTGCTGCTCCTCCTGCTCCTCCTCATGCTCCTCCTCCATCTACTCCTCCTCCTCCTCCTCATGCTCCTCCTCCATCTACTCCTCCTCCTCCTCCGTCTTCTTCTTCTTCTTCTTCTTCTTCTTATTTTTATTTATTTTCAATTTTTTTTGTTCAATTTTTTTTTTCATTCCATGTTTCCTTCCTTTTCTTCTTCCCGTTTATTATTTCATTTTCATTCTTATTTATTTTTTCGGATTGGTTTCCTTCTTATAAAAGATCTTTTTCTCACCGTACTAACTTTTTACTTTACTTTCTTTTTACTTACACTTATTTATTTCCTTTTTCCATTTCTTACCATTATTCCACCACTAATATATATACTCCGTATTTTTGAGAAAAAAATCCCAAAATAGGACTAAACTAATCTTTAAATGCACAACTATGACTATGTTATTTATCTTCCCAAAATAGGACTAAAGTATTTCTACATTCTTATTCTATTTTAGGAAGAAAAAATAGATTTGTGAAAAGAGAAAGTATAGGAAGAAAAAATAAGTCATATGTGGGATCGTTTCGAGAAGATTTGTAGAATGTTAGATTTATGGTTGAATGATTTGCAAAGAAAATGAAAAAACCTGGAATAACATGTCATCAATCGGTTAGAGACCAGTGAATAAAGATGAGGAGCAAATGTTGAATTATTATTCCTGAATCACGATAAAATGAAACTATTGTAAGAAAACCGCTAAAAAGTTGGATTATTAATTTTCATTTTCTCATTTTGTTTGTTTGCCCCATAAACTTTATCACTCTCTTCTCAAAATAATGAATTTGTGACTCAGTTTATTTCTTATTTTTCTTTACAAACCTCAAGCACATGTTTTTACTTTTCTTCTTACCCAATTACCCTCAACACAAATTGACGAGAGTAATAGCCCTTGATAATAAAAAAAGGATGACACCCCATCCCTGAGGGCCCCCAACCCCGACTGGACGGTACGTTGGGTGGATGTAAATTGGATTATAATCTCAATCTGACAGATAGAGAGTGAGGCTCTGTTCCCAGTACTTGCAGAGGCCCTATGCATTTTTAACATAATAACTCCTCGTTACAGTTGTTGGGATTCGAACCGGAGACCTAACCCTTTTGACACTCCCTTGCTACCCGTTGAACTACGCCCACCGGTTAGTCCTTGATAATAAAGGTGATAGAGTATATCTAGAGAGAGAAGTGCAATAATATGCTTCAATAGAATGATTTTGTAACCCCTATAACTACTCCCAAGGGGAGTATTTATAGAGAAAATACGGGCTGGGCTCCCAAGCCTTGGGTTTGGGAGGCCCATTTACAACTGGACCGCTACTGGGCCGAATACAAAGCCACTAATGGGCTGTACAAATGAGTAAGTGTAGAATCCGGTTCTGTGGAGTCTTCGGGGCCGACGAGGGCGTGGCCGACGAGGGCACGGCCGACGAGGGCGCGGCCGACGAGGGCACCCGGGTTCCTTGGCTTCAGGACCATAATCTGAGTTGGCACCTTTTCGGCCGACGGGGGTCCCTTGGCCGACGAGGGTGCCACTCTGTGTCTTGTCCTTTCTGTTCTTCCGAGTATGTGGGTCCGGGGGCTCAGACCCATATACTCCATCAGGAGTCCCCCACTCTCTAAGCTGAGACGTAGACGAAGTGAAGGAGAGTAGATTCCCATGCTTTAGTGCTTTTGGCCGATGCGGGCATTCCCAGGCCGTCAGCTGTTACGGCGTTGGTGCTGTTTCCATTTTGGTGATCCTGTTATGTGCCTTGGCCGTTACCTGCTCCTCGCTGTGGGCGGGGAGGCCGTTGTTTCCTTGATGTGTTCGTTTGGGGACGATATGTGTCCTGCTTCAATGGTGGCCGTTGAAGGCACGCTTTCCCTTTCTTGGACGTTGATGGTTGAAGTTTATGTTTGGGCCGATGAGGCCACTGAGGTTGAACCTTGCTTTGAGGACGATGGCGTCCTTTCCTTTGGGTGGCCGATGAGGGTGTTTGCGCACTCCTTTTGGCCGTCGCTGATTGGCTTTCGTGTTCTTGGCCGAAGAGCCCATCATGATTAACTGTTGGCGGAGGACGATGAGTGTCCTTGCCTTAGGTGGCCAGTTGGCCGTTGCTGATGACGTTGTGTGCCTTTGGCCGACGAGTCGCAGTGTGATACATAGCCGATGTGACCATGCTTTGTGGTTACATTTGTGTTTGCATTTTTCCTTTTGTTTTGTTGAGGCCGGTGTAGTCCCCCAGTCCCCCACTGCTTCAGGCCGAAGAGAATGAGGGGTGAAGGAGTTGCTTGAGTCCCTGGCCGAAGCGGCCTCTCCGTAGTCCTTGGCTGAAGCGGCCTCTCCGTAGTTCCCCTGAATCCAACCCTCATGGCGATTTTCTGGCCAAGGTAACCCTGTGGGAGAACCCTTGTGCGCAGATCGCTTGTAGAGAGTTATCATCAAGGGTCGTTACGGGGAGCCGATGGGCGTTCATGACATTCCTGGCCGTTGTCATCTCCTTATTGGCATTTGTGAACTTGGCAAGCCAGTAAGCCGTTGTGGGCGCTTGCTGGCACTTGTGAAGCCGGCCAGTGTGTAGGCCGTAGAGTCTGATTCGCTAGTGGGCTCTTGATATGTAGCTTGGCCCGTTGGTGACGTGGTGGCCTCCCATTGGTGGCCGTTGATGTGGCCATTGGGAGGGTGCCACGTGTAGTGACCGTTGGGTGGGGGGTTCTATAAATACCCCTCCCCCTCCGACGAGAAAACTCATTTGCATTCTGAGTTTGTCGAAGTGCTGGCCAAATTTCTAGAGAGATAAACTCCCAAGCTTGTTCTTCGTGTTCTTCGTGTTCAAGGTTAGTGTTCATCGCCATCTTCTGTACTTTGCATACTTTGCTTCCTAGGCTAGTGATCTAGTGTTAGGCGTTTGAACAGCCTTAGATCCTAAGTTATTCCCCTTAGGCTCGTAGTAGTTGTTATGATGAAGAGCTTGAACGAAGACTACTATCCGTACGACGACCAGCCCTCCACTAGGTCACTCGACTATGAGGTGCTCGAGGAGTTCGAGGAGGAGATACAACACTTAAGTCCTTACAAGTCCGAAGAGCCGGTGGACGACGAAGTCGAGGACGAGGAGTCCGCCTCGTCTTCAAAAGGTGAGGACGCAGGTGCGTCCCGAGTGGTGGACGGGGCGTCCACTTCCGCTGTTATTCCATGCCCGAGACCGGTGTCTGCCGTGAAGGGAGCAGATAAGCCGAAGAGAATAAGGAGGCCGAAGAGTGGGTCGGGCATCTCCTACCTGGATCTCACAAACATCTTCCTGATCAAGCCGGAGAGCAGCGTGGCCGACTACTTGGTTGCCCAGATGTACGTGGGGCCGTTCGGGCGGGTTAGGGCACCCAGGCCGACGGACCATGTTCTTCATCCGCCACCGGGATACTTTGGAGTATACCCGATGAGTTTCGCTAAGGGGTTGAGGTTTCCCCTTCATCCCTTCATCACCGAATACCTTGACATGGTGGGGCTCCCTCCGGCCTTGCTGACGTCGAACAGCTATTCATTGATGGTGGGGTTTTTGCTCCGCTGTGAGGAGCTGGGATACAGGCCGACGACGGCCCTGTTCATGAATCTGTATCAGATAGGCCGATGAAGCCATAAAAACTGTGCGGCCTATGCTACTCTTCAACAGCTGCCGAAGAAGAGGAGCTTCCCGGACTTGCCTTCGTCCATTCATGGGTGGAAGAGCAAGTTCGTTTTTGTATCCCTTGGTGAGAGTGGCACCGAGTTTCCCTCTCTCGGCCATACCGGGAGGTTCAATCTGCATGACCCGCCGAAGAGTTCTATCTTGGACGCGCAGGTGGAGGCTTTCTTGGAAGGGGGGCCGAGGAGCGTGAAGGATTATATCACCGAATACAAGATGACCGCCCTCGGCTTCTTAAGATACAATGTGTATGGCGATAAGGAGGACGATCTCCAACTCTGGCCGAGGATGACTACCACCTTCGAAGAGGCCGACGACCCGGATTTGGGCATTCCTGCTGAGGCCGATGGTAATTATTTCTTCGGCTTTCTTCCTTTATGATTTGTTCTTTTGCCTTGCTAATCTGTTGTTTTTCCTTTGTAGATTTTGTCATGGATCGTCGTTCCATCATGGCTATAGCCAAGGCCAAGGCGGCCGAAGAGTTGGCTGCAAAGGCGGCCGAGGCGGCCAGACGTGCCACGACCGAGGGAGGCGGGGCTACTGCTGGTGCGGCCCCAAAGCCTACCCAGTCCAAGAAGAAGAGGCCTCCCGCTGACGGCCAGAAGAAATTGACTGAGGCCGGCCTGAACGTCACCAAGAAGACGAAGAGGGCACTGTCTCCTTCCCAGGCTACTGAGGCCGACACTCTTGCTGTCCCCAGTGTGGACGATAGTGGTCCTGTTGTGGACCTCACTGCTACTCCTAGCGATGCTGCCCAATCGCTTCCTCTCGTCCAGGAGCCACGGACGAAGAGGGCCGGCAAGGAGATTGTCGGTGCCACCTACCAGAAGATGGTGGAATACCCCGTCGGCGGGGGTGTTTTTGATGACGTTGTCCTCGGCCACGATGTGCTGGCCCAGGCCATGCCGGCCAAAGATAGGGCCTACCTGAAGAGGCTCGGGGATGTGAAGGTGTACGAGGACGGGATGGACCTCCTCGTCCAAGTAAGTTCCTTTCCTTTTGCTTGCCGTTTTTCTCGTCGTCCGTGTAGAGTCATTTGCCTGAGTTCTGTTTTCCTTTTTTATGCAGGGTGCCTTTATGCTCATGGAGAGCCATAAGAGGCAGTACCGGGAGATAGCTCGTCTGAAAGAGCTGGAGCAGAAAGCTGCCTCGGCCGATGAGGCGGTAGCTTGCTTGGATCGGCTCCGGGAGGATGCCAAGGCCTTGCAACAAAAGGCCGACGAGGCCGCCGCAGCCAGGGACGATGCCCTGGCCAAACTCGAGGAGAGCCAAAGGGCGCTTGAGGCCGAGCGACGCAAGAACGATGAAGCCGTGAAGGCGAAAGCTGAGGCCGAGGTTGCCGCTGTGAAGGTTGCTGATGAGGCCGTTAAGCAGTTCCTGTCCGAGGGGTGGAAGGCCGATGAGCGGCTCTCCTGGTGCTATGAGGTGGTGGCCGCTAAGCTTGAAAATTGGAGGATGAACTCCCCCGCCGGCCAGGAGTATTTCAGCAGGGAGATGGCCATGTACTATAACATGGGCCAGGAGCGGATGCAGAGGCTCCTGTGTCGGCGGCTGTCTCGTGCTCTTAAGGCCATGAACTATACTTCCGGGTGGGCTAGACGGAACTTGAAGCTTCCCAAGCTGATGAAAGATCCCGAAGAGCAGGCCAAGCTTCCTCTGTCGGAGCGGGAGTCCCCCATTGAGAGTTCCGGCCTCGGCGAGCCGGATTACACGGAGTTTGACTTCCTGGACGACGCTACCAGTTATGCGGCTGCCGCCGGCCAGGAGACTGAGGCCGAGGAGGGAGGCGAAGACGTCGAAGAGCCAGCCGAAGATGGAGGCGCTCAAGAGGCTTGATCGGCTACTCCCCGCTCCCTTGTAATTAGTTTTTCATTTTTGCCGAATTGATGTAATGGCCGAAGCGCCCCCCTTTGTACTGAATTGATTATAAATGAAAATTTTTGCTGTCCTGCTCGGCTTTGAATTCCTTGTATGCTTATTGCCTTTTGCCATTTCAATTCTGAAATTTGTCTAAGTGTAAAGGTTACAACTTGGGTCACCCGCGAGTGTCTGCTACGTCCGTGAGGTAGTCCATCCTGTCCGGTGGCCTGGTCGGCCTGGCCGTCGTTTCTTTACTATCATAACACTTAGAATTTATTCAAAAATTTCCTAAGTGTTTTGGGTCCACGTAGTTGCTTTCTTTCCGGCCTGGTGGCTTGGTCGGTCTGTCCGGTGTTTCTTTACTATCATAACACTTAGGATTTATTTAGAATTTTCCTAAGTGTTTTGAGTCCACTTAAGTGCTTCCCTTTCCGTCCCTGACCGTGGTGTCCGTTCCGTCCTGGCGTTGTCCCATTCTTCTTTTTTGTTAGAATTTTTCTAAGTGTTTAACTTCAAGTGGATGGGTGTTCTCATCGTCCTGGTATTGGATTTCTCCTCATTATTGACAAATGCTTTGGGAGATTGCCCAAGTGTTGAACCAATGTCGTTGTCGGCCCAGTGTTTTTCGTGGCCGTCGTGTTCCCTTGTTTCTGAACTGATCATGAAGGTCGGCCTGCATCCTTGTGTTGTGGCCGAAAAGGGCACCTTCACCTTACTCTTTTGAACTTAGAATTTTTTCTAAGTACATATGCAAGGCGTAGGTAGCTAACGGCCTTGGAGTATACAGGTACCCGCTTCGTCTAGAGTTCCTCCATTTAAGTACTTAGAGATTTTTCTAAGTATAAATGTAAGACATAGTTCCTTCTTTGCGGTACCGCTGCCGGCTAAGAGATGGCCCTACCATCATCGGCCAAGGTCTGGATTTGTGGCCGATGAGGGTGCCCCTTGCTTTCCCCAAGAGAAGACCCTACCTTCATCGGCTAAGGCATAGTTCCTTCTTGAGGAACTTTTTTCCTCAGAATTTTCTCTAAGTGTTTGGTAAACACTTGAACAAATTCCCAAAGAACTTTCGCTTGACCAACAGCCTTGGTTCCAGTGCCTGTATCGGCTATCCGGGATGCTGTGGCAAGTAGGGATTGTTTCTTGATTGCTTGATTCCTCCGTGGGTGTGATAAGTGCCCGCTTCGTCCTGGTCATCCTCAGGATTGTGATTCTTTGTTTCATACCAAGCGTTGGTGCTTCAAAGGACCGTGGCCGATGAAGGTTACCTCTCGCGTGTCACCCAACCGATTCGGTTAGGGTTTTATAGGCGTATGTTTCGGCCTTGACCATTCCCTTGTGGTGTGTGGACGTGTCGTCCATGTTTACCTGTCATGTACTTGGCCTAGTTGGGCCTGAGTTGTGGGGATTTTATTTTTTCATTGCTCGAGGCCGGCCAGTGTGCACGGCCGTTGGCTTCCCTCTTTTTCCCTTATATATATATATATATATATATATATATATATATATATATATATATATATATATATATATATATATATATATATATATATATATATATATTGTTTTTGTTTTCGGGGAGTATCCTTCTTTCAGGCTTCGGCCGAAGGGTGTGCTCGTCCTTCGGCCGGTTCGGACTTCGTTTATAACGTCCGTGATCTCAGGGCGGGTCCCGTCGCCTATTTATGACGCGGGCTAGACTTTTGGTCGGTTTCCAACGGATGTCGTTGCCCATCCCTGAGTTTTGGGATTTTGTCACCTCGGCCATGATTTCAGGCCTGTCGTCCTGCGATCTGGCGCGTGGACGACGCGGTGAGCTTCCCGTTTCAAGACGTGGGCCGTTTGCGGGCCCCTCGTCCTGGGGACATCGTCGGCCATACCTGAGCGTTTCACTTCTAGGCTTACGGGGCCAGGACGATGTGCTCTCTCAGCTAGGCCTGAGCCCTTCGCTGATACAAAATACAATGGAACGCCTGATCTTGTCGATCGTAGGCTGCAAGTGCAAGGGGCCCCGTCGGCCATGCCTGAGCCATTTGCTCTGAGGTGGCCGATGAGGGCACCTGCTAATGTTTTTTACTTTAAATTCCAGAGAAAAAATCAGGAGGAACATGATTTTATTCATAAGTGGCTCGAGGCCGAGGGTGGCGTTCAATCAGTAACCCGTTAAGGGGTGAGGGCTTCGCCGTCTGCACCTCCTTCGGATTACTGATAAAACTTCACCAGATGGTGTACATTCTACGTTCGTGGTACATTGGACCCATTCGGGCGTTTAAGCTTGTAGGTGCCGGGTTTGACCACGGCACTGACGATGTAGGGCCCTTCGTACTTCAATGCTAGCTTGCCACCCTCTGTCGGCTGGCTTGCTTCCCTTCGGCGGAGGACGTAGTTGTAACACCCCTAAATTTCCCGTCCAAAACATTGATATATTTAAAAGAAATACTTTATTCATTCATTAAAGAGTTGAAGAAATACAGCGGAAGTCTAAAAGGGAAATGAGTGTTACCGCCACATTCGGTCATCTCTTAACCGAATGCACAGGCAACTCAAAGTAAAACAATAAAAACTAATTTAATAATAAGTAAATGTTAATTTCATGACTAGATTTAACTAAGGCATCTTCTAATTCGCACTCAAGCTCGAGCAATCCATCAATCCACATAGGCATCCAACTCATCACCTGATAAAATTTAAGGGAGAAGAGAGAGACAAGAGAAATAACAAAAATTAGTTTTAGAGCTAAGTAAGTACTACCCAACCCCGTAAAATAATCAGGTTTGACTAAAAATAGATTTTTATATAATATCATATAAAAATGACGCACTCCACCAAAATACTTTTCTCCTTGATTTTTCTTAAAATCACTTCTTTGCTAAAATCTTAAACTTCTCTTGAAAAATCTCTTAGTAATTCTTCTCTTTAAACTTCTTAAGAAAATCACTTCTTCTCTAACTTCCTAGTAATTTAGAAGGGCGGTGCTCAACCTTTCGACTGAGCCCGGTGGACCGTGGTTACGGACGGCCACCCCGAACAAGTGCCGGTACCACAACTGCTCTGTTGGAAACGAAACGACTACCTTAAGTGTGCACACCCCCTAAAAGGGATTCCAAGCCCTCCGAGTAGTAAGTCATCCCGAGTGGTCGGAACCCAACCACCCCAATTCTAAAATTCTTGAATGATTAGGGACTACTACTATAACTTCTTCTTAAAAAGGATCATAGATCCAAATCTCACTTGAAACTTAAACCGTACTTCTTAGTAGTAGTAGCTCTAATCACCCTCCACATTTATCCGGATGTGGAAAACCGACACCTCGGATTACTCCCGAGATGCTCACTTCTTATAAAAATGTAAATTTTATCTTCGCTTAATAATACTTCAAAAATACTTCTTAATTTCTCTAAAAAGTCTCGAAGGTATTTAAAAATATTTAATACCCCAAAAGTACTTGATTTATACTTCTTAACTACCATATATATAATATCTCCTCAAAATCACATACACAAAATTCACAATTCACACATAATCACATAATGCATAATAAGCATATAATACGAGGAAACAATTTTGGATTGGCAGAGAAATTTACCTTAAGTCCTGTTGCTCCTAGTTATCCTCCTCTAATCCGGTCTCTAGATAATCACCTTTTTAATTAAATATGATAAAATTAGTCACTTATTCTATTTGTAATTACTTTACCCGATTTTCTCCTTTTATTTTATTATTCGAATTTATTAACTTAATTTATTAGTTATCCAAATTTATTTGATTACTCACGTTCTATTAATAAAATTACTTTATTAATTTCATCCATTAATTTTCAATATTTGAAATAAAATATCCGAATATAATTAACTACAACATCCAATTTTTATACAATAATCACCATTAATTTACTCTACTCATAAATTATTATCTAATTACTTTATTTATATTAACCCATTAATTTTTAAATATATATATGAAGTCCGAATATCTAATAATTAATCATAAAAATTATTAATTGAATTAGTCCACTAATTACATAACTAAGTTATTTATTAAGTCTACATATAGTTAATTATTTATGCTAGCTAACCCATCCTTATTTTATTTTCCTTATTTTATTCAAACATTATTTTTAGTCCAGAATATTATTTTTCAACCTCACTTATTTATTTATTAATATTAATATTTCCTTATTTAATTACTTAACTAGTCTTATGTGACCTAATTTAAATAAATAGACTAAGAATCGACTTTATAAATTAAAAACCGTCTATAACTATATTTTGGGTCTATATTTGACCTAGGTTGTCCAGATATCTATTTTATAATTATCTTCCATAATTATTCCTTTAATTTCATATATCTATTAACCGGTTCAATTACAATTAAATATACTAAATCTTAATATTTATTAATTATAAATGGTCCATAAGGTCCTAGTTAGTCATATATTTATCCTAGTTTACTCCAATATTTATTTCATAATTATTTTCGTTATTTAGTTAATTATTTACTAAATGTGTATAAATTGGCCTAATTACCATTAAATCAATTAAAAATAGCTAAAAATATTATTTTCCAATTCTGGTTGGTCCGAATATGTATATTTATACTGGGTATTTAATTTATATTTTTCCAGATTTTATTTATTTCATTTACTATTTTATTTTTAATTTTTATTGCAACTGGGCCGAACTGGCCCAAATTATTATTATTTTTAAAAGAAGCCCAGCAACAGCCGGCCACAAGACAGACCCCAGCTCTCAGCTGGGTCGTCTTCCTCGCGGTGAACGCCGGAAACGGAACTAAAAAAACGCAGAAGAGGTTACCTCAACGGCACTGCCAAAGACGGTGATGGACAGGTGGCGGCAGTGGTGTCCCCCTTCTTCCCCGTTTCTCCGCCGTTGAAGTTTGGCCGACGAACTCCGGCGAGGCTTTTCTCCCTCGTTTCACGACCGTTTTCAACGATTCTTTTTTCGTTGGATTCGTCTCACGAAGGGGAAGGTTTGAAAAGTATTTTCAAGGCTTGGTTCTGCCTAAAACGATGGGTCGCAATTTTATATATATATATACGTATATGTGTATATATGTTGCAGGTTTCGGGATGAAGAAAACGCAGGTTCTGGCCTATTATTTATAGGTGTAGGTCGAGGGTTTTAGGCTGAGATGTTAGAGTTAGAGTTGGATTTAATCAGTTTCGTTTTTTTTTGAAGTTGTCGGACTCCTCCCGGTTGTGAGCTTCTGGCTTCGTTCGTGGTTTGTTTTAGTTTGTTTAGGAGTATTATTAGTATGTTATAGTAGTTAGTTAGGAGTATTATAATTATACTTCTATATACTAAGTTATACGTAGGTAGATTAGTTTAGTTATATTACTACGTATAACGTATGTAGGTTATAAGTGTATTTATGTTATACGTATTAGGAGTATTTTAGTTTGTACTTTGTACACTAAACAACTTAAAATAGTTTAATGAAATAATTTTATATGAAAACGTTACTTTTATTATCAGATCATTTTTATCTGACTAAAACGTCATAAGTTTGGAAATTTTATCTGATTAGAATGTTACAACTGTTGAATTTTTGTCTGACTCAATTAATAATTAAAATGTTATTTTCGTAATATTTTATCTGATAAAAAAATTATTTTTATTTTTATTTAAAATTTTGAAGTGTCACATTCTACCCTCCTTAAAAGATGTTTCGTCCCGAAACATTAACTAAATCTAAATACTCAAATTCTTAAGTATTACATTCTACCCCCCTTAAAGAGAGGTTACGTCCTCGTAACTAATATTTTACCTTAGTCAAATAACTCTGGATAACGTTTGTGCATATCCTCCTCAGTCTCCCATGTGGCATTTTCGGCCAAATGGTTAGACCACAACACTTTCACCATCTTAACCGCTTTTCTTCTAGTCTCACGAGTCTTAGTATCAAAAATCTGGATCGGCCTCTCCTCGTAAGTCAACGATTCATCCAACTCGACCACCTAAGAAAGTCGAGGTTAGATGTGATACTTGGATCTAATTATCATAAGGTTACGATTCGTACCTTGGGGCTAAGAATATGGGATTCGTCGCGGACATACTTCTTCAATTGGGAGATATGGAAAACATTGTGTACCTACGCATAACACACTTTAGTATTTGAGAGATATTTACTAAGGTACTCACTAACGAGCGGTTATAGTATGTTATACCTTAGCCAACTCGGTGGGTAGAGCTAGACGATATGCAAATTTTCCCACTCGCTCGAGGATGTCATATGGGCCAATGAACCTCGGGCTTAGCTTTCCCTTCTTTCCAAATCTCATTACTCCCTTGGTCGGGGATACTCTGAGTAGGACTTTCTCTCCCGCTTCGAATTAGGCTGGCTTCCTTCCCAAGTCTGCATAAGACTTCTGACGATCTTGTGCAGCTTTCATCCTTGCTTGAATCATCTTCACTTTCTCTATGGTGTCTTGGAGGCAGTCTGGCCCTAACACCACTCGATCTTCCATGTCACTCCAGCATAGTGGGCTTCTACACTTTTGACCATATAGAGCTTCGTACGGGGCCATTTTGATACTGGCGTGGTAGCTATTATTGTATGAAAACTCTATTAAGTCTAAGTGTTCATCCCACGATCCTTGTAGGTCTAACATACATGCTCTCAGCATGTCCTCGAGTGTTTGGATGGTTCGCTCCGTTTGTCCATCAGTCATTGGGTGAAATGTTGTACTCAGCTTCAGCTTCGTCCCCATAGCAGCTTGCAACTCCTTCCAGAATTGAGATAGGAATCTGGAATCTCGGTCAGAAACAATGTCTTGAGGAACTCCATGGTACTTAACCACGTGCTTGATGTAAGCACGGGCTAACTTCTCCATGCTCCAAGTCTCGTTCATCGGGATAAAGCGAGCTGTCTTTGTTAACCGGTCGACTATAACCCAAATTTTGTCATGGCCAGACTTGGTTAGGGGCAAGCCCCCAACAAAGTCCATGGAGATGGAATCCCACTTCCATTTTGGTACTTCCAAGGATTGCACGAGTCCCTTGGGCTTGCAACGTTCGGCTTTCACCTTCTGGCAGTTCAAGCATCGAGCCACGAATTCAGCTACCTCTTTCTTCATGTTCGGCCACCAAAAATTCTTTTTGATGTCTTTGTAGAGTTTGTCGCCTCCAGGGTGCACCGAGTAGGGCGTGTTGTGCCCTTCTTCCATGATTTTCTTCTTAAGCTCTTCGCATTTCATCGGAACACACCATCTTCCTTTGTGTCGAATGCTCCCATCTTCATGCAGTTTGAACGGTCCGTTCACGCCATTTGTCATGCCGGCTCGGATTCTATCCAACTTGATGTCTCCAGGTTGCCCTTCTCGAACTTCGTCGAGAATAGATGGGGTAACGGTCATGGTGAGTAACCGCGTTTCCTGATCTACCTCTCCGAAATCCCGAACTTCCAAGTCTAGCTTCTGAAAGTCCCGATATAGCTCATCAGGAAGTATCCATGTTGCTTTGCAGGAGTGTGTTGATTTTCGGCTCAACGCGTCGGCAACTACGTTTGCTTTCCCTTCATGGTACTGGATCTCCAAGTCGTAGTCTTTGACGAGTTCTAGCCAGCGTCTCTGTCTCATGTTAAGCTCCTTTTGGGTGAAGATGTACTTCAGGCTCTTGTGATCGGTGTAAACTTTACAGTGTACCCCATAGAGATAGTGCCTCCACAACTTTAGAGCAAAGATAACCGCTGCTAGTTCTAAGTCATGAGTCGGATAGTTGACCTCATGTGTCTTCAGTTGCCTTGATGCATAGGCCACCACTTTGCCGTTTTGCATCAATACGCAACCCAATCCCTTTAAACAAGCATCGGTGTAAATCTTGAACCCTTCAGTCCCAGATGGTAGGGTCAAGATAGGTGCGGTTGTTAATATCTGCTTCAGCTCTTGGAAGGCTTTCTTGCACTCATCACTCCATATGAACTTCGTGGTCTTCTTCGTGAGATTAGTCAAAGGCTTTGCTATCTTTGAGAAATCCTTCACGAATATGCGATAATAGCCTGCCAAACCTAGAAAGCTTCGGACCTCCGTCACGGTTGTGGGTGCAGGCCAGTCTATCACCGCTTCGATCTTGGATGGATCAACAGATACACCTTCTTGAGTGATGATATGGCCCAAGAATGCGACCCGGTCCTTCCAGAAATCACACTTTGAGAGCTTGGCGTAAAGCTGATTTTCTCTCAAAGTCTGTAGGACGAGCCTCAGATGCTCTTCGTGATCTTTCTCGTTCTTCGAGTACACCAAAATATCATCAATAAACACTACCACAAATGTATCAAGGCATGGGCGAAATACACGGTTCATTAAGTCCATGAACACTGCTGGTGCTTTGGTTAACCCAAACGGCATCACGGTGAACTCATAATGCCCATATCTTGTACGAAATGTAGTCTTCGGTATATCTTTCTCTGCGATCCTCACCTGATGGTAGCCGGATCGAAGATCAATCTTGGAAAATATACCCGCTCCCTTCAGTTGATCGAACAGGTCATCTATGCGAGGTAGCATGTACTTGTTTTTTATGGTTGCGTTGTTTAGTTCCCTGTAATCGATGCAGAGTCTCAGACTCCCATCCTTCTTCTTCACAAATAAGACCGAAGCGCCCCAAGGTGAGACACTCGGTTTGATGTAACCCTTCCCCAACAGTTCCTCGAGTTGTTCTTTTAGCTCTTGCATCTCCTTCGGTGCCATTCGGTATGGTGCTTTTGAGATGGGTGCGGTGTCTGGCATTAGATCTATTGAAAACTCAACTTCCCTCTCTGGTGGCATCCCCGGAATTTCTTCTGGAAACACGTCCGGAAATTCATTGACCACAGGGATTTGGTCAATGGTTGGACTCTCGGACGTCAAGTCTTTGATCATGCACAAGAAAACCTCATACCCCTTCCGGACGTATCGTTTGACTTGTTGCATGGTTGCCAGCTTCACGCCTGGCCTAGATGTGACCGTTTTGTAGGATATACATTTCTTATTGGGTCCTCTCAAGACCACCTGTTGTTCATCACATAGGATTTTGGCTTTATATTTCCCTAGCCAGTCCATACCCAACACCACGTCGATATCCTCCAAGTCAAACTGGATTAGATCTCCGGGTAGTTCGGTATCGGATATGACTATGGAAATATTGGAGAAAACATTCCCACACGCCACAATTTTGTTGGATGCCGTTTTTACATTAAGATTAAGTCTAGAGTCAGGTTCTAACTTTGACTTTTCCACAAATTTTGAGGCTATAAAACTGTGGGAAGCACCCGAATCAAATAGTACATAAGCAGGTGTGGAATTTACAAGAAAGGTACCTGATACCACATCGTGCGCATTTGCTTGAGCCTGGTTCATGACGTAAATCCGGCCTTGGGTGTTGTTCTGCCCTCCCTGGCCCGGATTACGGTTGGCCTCTGTTGGGCGGTTTCCAGGATTACCACGGTTGTTGTTGGCGTGATTAACCCCACCCCCGGCTTGGTTGTTTCCCTGGTTTTGTCCCTGGTTCGGGGGTTTCCTGCACTCGTATGCCCGATGCCCCAAGAGGTTACAGTTGCGACACCTCACCGCATTTCCTGCACAATCCTTCCCGGGATGGTTGTTTGGGCATAATTTGCATTTATGGTGCCTCGTCTGAGTTGGTTGGTTTCTCCCCTGCCCCTGGTTTTGGAAGTTTCCTCCGCCTTGATTGATTTGCCTTTGCTCAGGGCGGTCGGTTCTGGCCTTCTTTTGTTGCTGTTCCACCTCAGCATTCTTCCGATCTCTCTTATGGGCTTCTCTCTCTTTCTGGTGTACTAGATAGTACTTACCAGCCTTTCTATAAGCTTCATTCAAATTCCGCGGCTCCGCTACCGTCACGAACTTTTGGGACCCGAAGTTAAGCCCGTTAACAAACCTGCGGGTCATACTAGCCTCTGTCGATACCAGGTCCTTGGCAAAACGTGCCAGTTGAACGAATTTCGTGTGGTACTCCTGAACAGTCAGGTCACCTTGTTTAAAGTTGACAAATTCTTCATAATTTGCTTCCTTCACGTGATCTGGGTAGAAGCGATCCCGCAACGCTACTATGAAGTCCTCCCAATCGAAGCCCGGTTGCCCGAGAAGTGCTGGTCCGTTGGCGGCCCACCAGTGGTCCGCTTCTTGGTGCAGATAATACACCGCAATATTCACCCGTTGCTCCGACAGGCAATTCAGTGAATCAAAGAGCTTGTCGAAAGTGCGGATCCAGTCCTCCAAGATAAGGTGGTCCTCCTCGCCCAAGTATTTTGGACGGTTTCGTCCGGCTACCTTTGTTGCGTAGTCGATCCCAGGGTTTTGGGGTTGAGCTGCTCCGATGAGCTGCGCCATTCGCTGGACAGTTTGTGCCAACTCGTCGACAGTTGGGGTTGCATGGATGTCTCTTCTCGGCGGCATGACTCTTAATGAAGAAAACGTGTACTAAGTTCTAAGACATGCATAAGGCTTCTACGTTATACAAGTTCTCTACTACCTTCAAACAGATAAACACATACAAAGGATCTTACTTACTCCACATACTTCACATAAGCACGAATTTCATGCATTTCATAACTTAATAACTTCGCAAAGGTTTCTCCCTCTCACCGCGTCCTAAAAGGTCTTTTTCCTAGTATGTTAATTCTCCTAACTTTACAAAAATATTTTGAAAAATCCCCGCATCGAAACTATAGTTTTCGTCAAAGATTTCGAACAACGAAGTTTCAGCACAAGGAGAAATTCCCAGTTAGTTGGACGAGCGCAAGGCTCAATTAGGCACCAACTAGCTTAGACCGTTATCGTCTTTGTGACAGAATTCCTCCCTACGACCTATTACCTCGTGTTCAAGTCCCTTCGGAAAACCTGGCTCTGATACCAATTTGTAACACCCCTAAATTTCCCGCCCAAAATATTGATATATTTAAAAGAAATACTTTATTTATTCATTAAAGAGTTGAAGAAATACAGCGGAAGTCTAAAAGGGAAATGAGTGTTACCGCCACATTCGATCATCTCTTAACCGAATGCACATGCAACTCAAAGTAAAACAATAAAAACTAATGTAATAATAAGTAAATGTTAATTTCATGACTAGATTTAACTAAGGCATCTTCTAATTCGCACTCAAGCTCGAGCAATCCATCAATCCACATAGGCATCCAACTCATCACCTGATAAAATTTAAGGGAGAAGAGAGAGACAAGAGAAATAACAAAAATTAGCTTTAGAGCTAAATAAGTACTACCCAACCCCGTAAAATAATCAGGTTTGACTAAAAATAGATTTTTATATAATATCATATAAAAATGACGCACTCCACCAAAATACTTTTCTCCTTGATTTTTCTTAAAATCACTTCTTTGCTAAAATCTTAAACTTCTCTTGAAAAATCTCTTAGTAATTCTTCTCTTTAAACTTCTTAAGAAAATCACTTCTTCTCTAACTTCCTAGTAATTTAGAAGGGCGGTGCTCAACCTTTCGACTGAGTCCGGTGGACCGTGGTTACGGACGGCCACCCCGAACAAGTGCCGGTACCACAACTGCTCTGTTGGAAACGAAACGACTACCTTAAGTGTGCACACCCCGTAAAAGGGATTCCAAGCCCTCCGAGTAGTAAGTCATCCCGAGTGGTCGGAACCCAACCACCCCAATTCTAAAATTCTTGAATGATTAGGGACTACTACTATAACTTCTTCTTAAAAGGGATCATAGATCCAAATCTCACTTGAAACTTAAACCGTACTTCTTAGTAGTAGTAGCTCTAATCACCCTCCACATTTATCCGGATGTGGAAAACCGACACCTCGGATTACTCCCGAGATGCTCACTTCTTATAAAAATGTAAATTTTATCTTCGCTTAATAATACTTCAAAAATACTTCTTAATTTCTCTAAAAAGTCTCGAAGGTATTTAAAAATATTTAATACCCCAAAAGTACTTGATTTATACTTCTTAACTACCATATATATAATATCTCCTCAAAATCACATACACAAAATTCACAATTCACACTTAATCACATAATGCATAATAAGCATATAATACGAGGAAACAATTTTGGATAGGCAGAGAAATTTACCTTAAGTCATGTTGCTCCTAGTTATCCTCCTCTAATCCGGTCTCTAGATAATCACCTTTTTAATTAAATATGATAAAATTAGTCACTTATTCTATTTGTAATTACTTTACCCGATTTTCTCCTTTTATTTTATTATTCGAATTTATTAACTTAATTTATTAGTTATCCAAATTTATTTGATTACTCACGTTCTATTAATAAAATTACTTTATTAATTTCATCCATTAATTTTCAATATTTGAAATAAAATATCCGAATATAATTAACAACAACATCCAATTTTTATTCAAGAATCACCATTAATTTACTCTACTCATAAATTATTATCTAATTACTTTATTTATATTAACCCATTAATTTTTAAATATATATATGAAGTCCGAATATCTAATAATTAATCATAAAAATTATTAATTGAATTAGTCCACTAATTACATAAATAAGTTATTTATTAAGTCTACATATAGTCAATTATTTATGCTAGCTAACCCATCCTTATTTTATTTTCCTTATTTTATTCAAACATTATTTTTAGTCCAGAATATTATTTTTCAACCTCACTGATTTATTTATTAATATTAATATTTCCTTATTTAATTACTTAACTAGTCTTATATGGCCTAATTTAAATAAATAGACTAAGAATCGACTTTATAAATTAAAAACCGTCTATAACTATATTTTGGGTCTATATTTGACCTAGGTTGTCCAGATATCTATTTTATAATTATCTTCCATAATTATTCCTTTAATTTCATATATCTATTAACCGGTTCAATTACAATTAAATATACTAAATCTTAATATTTATTAATTATAAATGGTCCATAAGGTCCTAGTTAGTCATATATTTATCCTAGTTTACTCCAATATTTATTTCATAATTATTTTCGTTATTTAGTTAATTATTTACTAAATGTGTATAAATTGGCCCAATTACCATTAAATCAATTACAAATAGCTAAAAATATTATTTTCCAATTCTGGTTGGTCCGAATATGTATATTTATACTGGGTATTTAATTTATATTTTTCCAGATTTTATTTATTTCATTTACTATTTTATTTTTAATTTTTATTGCAACTGGGCCGAACTGGCCCAAATTATTATTATTTTTAAAAGAAGCCCAGCAACAGCCGGCCCACAAGACAGACCCCAGCTCTCAGCTGGGTCGTCTTCCTCGCGGTGAACGCCGGAAACGGAACTAAAAAAATGCAGAAGAGGTTACCTCAACGGCACGGCCAAAGATGGTGGTAGCGGACTTCTGATGGACGGTAATGCACGGTGATGGACTGGCGGCGGCAGTGGTGTCCCCCTTCTTCCCCGTTTCTCCGCCGTTGAAGTTTGCCCGGCGAACTCCGGCGAGGCTTTTCTCCCTCGTTTCACGACCGTTTTCAACGATTCTTTTTCCGTTGGATTCGTCTCATGAAGGGGAAGGTTTGAGAAGTATTTTCAAGGCTTGGTTCTGGCTAAAACGATGGGTCGCAATTTTATATATATATATACGTATATGTGTATATATGTTGCAGGTTTCGGGATGAAGAAAACGCAGGTTTTGGCCTATTATTTATAGGTGTAGGTCGAGGGTTTTAGGCTGAGATGTTAGAGTTAGAGTTGGATTTAATCAGTTTCATTTTTTTTTGAAGTTGCCGGACTCCTCCCGGTTGTGAGCTTCTGGCTTCGTTCGTGGATTGTTTTAGTTTGTTTAGGAGTATTATTAGTATGTTATAGTAGTTAGTTAGGAGTATTATAATTATACTTGCTATATACTAAGTTATACGTAGGTAGATTAGTTTAGTTATATTACTACGTATAACGTATGTAGGTTATAAGTGTATTTATGTTATACGTATTAGGAGTATTTTAGTTTGTACTTTGTACACTAAACAACTTAAAATAGTTTTATGAAATAATTTTATATGAAAACGTTACTTTTATTATCGGATCATTTTTATTTGACTAAAACGTCATAAGTTTGGAAATTTTATCTGATTAGAATGTTACAACTGTTGAATTTTTGTCTGACTCAATTAATAATTAAAATGTTATTTTCGTAGTATTTTATCTGATAAAAAAATTATTTTTATTTTTATTTAAATTTTTGAAGTGTCACAGTAGTCCCCCACCTGAAATTCCCGGGAACGTACCTTGGCGTCATAGTATGATTTTACTTGACGCCGGTAGTTCTCTGCTCGGACGTGAGCTTGCTCACGCCTCTCATCGACCAGGTGCAGGTCAATCTTCATGTTCTCTTCGTTGGCGTCAGGCTCATATTGTTCCACCCGTCGGCTGGGGATGGCAACTTCCGTGGGCGCCTTTGCCTCGATGCCGTAGCATAGGGCGAAAGACGTTTCACCTGTCGCCCTCCTCGGCGTGGTTCTGTAGCACCACAGGATGTTGGGGAGCTCGTCGACCCAACTACCTCCTGCGGCCTGGAGTTTCTTCTTCAGCCCCTCCATGATTGTTCTGTTGGCGTTCTCAACCTGCCCGTTGCCCTGAGGGTAGGCAACGGAGGAGAAACGATGCTTCACCCCAAACTCCCGGAGGAGCTCCTGGAAAGGGGCTGCCTCGAATTGGGTGCCGTTGTCTGATATAATCTCCCGGGGGACGCCGAAGCGTGTGATGATGTTCTTGTAAACAAATTTTTGGCATCTGGCCCCCGTGATGCTGGCCAGGGGTTCCGCCTCGACCCACTTGGTGAAGTAGTCGACGGCGACGATGATGTAGCGGTTATTCCCGGCGGCTCTGGGCAGGGGGCCGACCAGGTCAATCCTCCATCTAGAGAATGGAATTGCGGTGCTGACGGGGGCGTAGTTGACGGCTGGCCGACCAGGGGTCTTCTGGAGCACCTGGCACGTGGTACACTTCCTGGCCAGATCCGCGCAGTCTCGCGCCATCGTCGGCCAGAAGAAGCTCTGGACGACGAGACGTCGGGACATGCTGAAAGGGCCCTGGTGCGAGGAGCAGACGCCGCAATGAACTTCTTCCATGGCCATGTCGGCCTCGTCCTGGTGCGGGCATCGGAGGAGAGTGCCATTATAGGACCGTTTGTAGAGTTTGCCATCTTCGATGGTGTAGCTTGGGGCCCTGAGTTTGGCAAGTTTGGCCCTCTCCTCGTCCGGGGGCAGCTCCCCCGTTGTGATGAAGGTGGTGATGTCGGAGATCCAGTCCTCTGGTCGCTGTTGGATGCACAAGACGGGGCTGGCATGGATGCTGGACATGCTCAACTCCTCGATCTTGGCCAGCCGGGAGATGTGCTCCGGGGTGTCCGAGCTGAGTTTGGAGAGGATGTCGGCCTCGGCGTTCTCGGCCCTTGGGATCTGTGTGATCTCGTGGGTTTCGAACGCCTTCAGCAGCTCTTCCGCCGTTTGTTTGTACTGCTTCATTCGGCCTTCCTTTGCTTCGTACGATCCCTCCACCTGGCCCACTACCAGTTTGGAGTCGCACTTGACTTTCAGGTGCTTGGCCTTGAGGCCGGCGGCGAGTCTGAGACCGCTGAGGAGGGCCTCATACTCGGCTTCGTTGTTGGATACCCTGAAGTTGAAGCGGATGGCGTAGTAAGCTCTGAATCCTTCAGGGATATGAGGACGACGCCGCCACCGCATGATTTTGCGGCCGACGAGCCATCAGTGAATAGGATCCATGTATCATCCGGCTCCGGCCCGGGGTTGGCGACGGCCGTCTCCCTTGCTGTGCATTCAGTGACGAAGTCGGCCAAGACTTACCCTTTGATAGATGGCCTTGGCTTGATCTCAATTTGAAATTGGCTGAGGAAGATTGCCCATTTCACCATCCTAGAGGAGCTGGTGGGGCTCCTCATGAGTGCGCCGAGAGGCTGCTGGGTCAGCACATGGACGGCATGGGCCTGGAAGTAGTGTCTCAGCTTCTTCACCGTATGGACGATGGCCAGCACCGTCTTCTCAATGGGGGAGTACCTGAGCTCGGCCTCCCTGAGTGTCTTGCTGATGTAGAAAATGGCCTTTTGCACCCCTTCGTCCTCACGGATGAGCACGGAGCTGATGGCCGACGTGCTCACCCCTAAGTACAAGAAGAGGGTTTCGCCGGCTTTGGGCTTGGAGAGCACGGGTGGGGACGATAGGTACCTTTTCAATTCGTCGAATGCTTCCTGGCACTCCGTCGTCCACTTGAAGCTGCTGGCTTTACGCATGATCTGAAAGAAGGGGAGTGCCCTCTCGGCTGACCTGGAGAGGAACCGGTTCAGGGCCGCCAGGCTCCCCGTCAGTCGTTGTACTTCCTTGACGTTACGGGGCGGCTCCATGTTGATGATAGCCTGCGTCTTCTCCGGGTTTATCTCGATGCCTCTCCGGCTGACCATGTAGCCGAGGAACTTGCCGCCCTGGACGCCGAAGGCGCACTTCTTGGGGTTGAGCCGGAGCCTGAACTCCTACATGATTTCAAAGATTTCCCGGAGGTCGTCGGCGTGGGAGGAGGCCTGCCTGCTCTTGACGATCATGTCGTCGACGTACGCCTCCATCGTCCGGCCAAGGACCGCTCTGAAGATCTTGGCCACCATCCTAGTGTAGGTGGCGCCGGAGTTTTTTAGTCCGAAGGCCATGACGAGATAGCAAAAGATTCCCTCTGGGGTCATGAATTCCGTCTTCTCAGCGTCATCTTCATGCATGGAGATTTGGTGGTACCCTCTGAAAGCGTCAAGGAACGACATCAACTCGCACCCCGCCGTCTCGTCCACCAGCTGATCAATGTTGGGGAGAGGGAACGGGTCCATGGGGCACGCCTTGTTCAGGTCAGTGTAATCAACACACATCCTGAATGTCGACGGTTTCTGGGCGAGGACGACGTTGGCCAACCACGTCGGGTATTTCACCTCTTTAATGTGTTTGATTGAGAGGAGCATGGCGACCTCCCCTTTGACGAAGTCGCGCCTGTCGGCGGACAAGTAGCGCCGCTTCTGCTTGATGGGCGTGGAGGCCGGATCGACGGTCAGCCGGTGAGTGATCACCTGGCGGCTGATGCCTGGCATGTCGTCCGGGCCCCACGCGAAGACAACGGCGTATGACCGCAGGACGAGGAGGATGGCGTCTCGTTGGTCCTGAGGGAGTTGCTTCCCGACTCTGAGAACCTGCTCCGGCCAGGAGGTATCCAGAGGGATTTCCTCGACCTCCTCGGCCGGCTCCGCATGTGGTCTCTCCTCGTCCTTGGTGACGGTTGCCGTGATGGTGTCTATTCTCTGCCCCTCCCTCTCGGCCGGCCTCGTCAATTTGAGGTAGCACGCCCTGGCTATCCTCTGGTTTCCTCTGGCGTAGCCGATGCTGTCATTGGTGGGGAACTTCAGACATAAGTGCCTCATGGAGATGATGGCCTCCAAGTCCTCCAGCGCTGGTCGTCCCAAGATCAGGTTGTGGGTGCACTGGAGGTTGACCACCATGAACTCCATGTCAATCCTGGCGCGGTGGGGGCCGTCACCGACCTCCACGGGGAGGACTATCGTGCCCTCGGCGTCGATAGAGTCCCCGGTGAAGCCGGATAACGGTGTCTTGATCGGCTTCAGCAGAGCTCTGTCCAGCTTCAGCTGCCTGAAGGTATCCAGGTACATCACGTTGACGGAGCTCCCCGTATCGATGTAAGTGCGATGGATGATGGAGTCACCGATCTCACACCGGATGACGAGGGCGTCCCTGTGTGATCCCGTACCCGGAGGCAAATCCTTGTCGGTGAAGGTGATCGCCTCCGTCCGCTGCTTCTTCGGTTGGGGGGGAACGTGGGACACCTCCCCGATGTAGAGGGATTGGGCCCATTTCTTTCTCTGAGTGGCGGAGTCCCCCCAGTGTTCCCACCTACGATGAGGTGAATGTGATTCTTCTTTGGCGGGGGCTCTTCGAAGTCCTCGTCGTCGCTGAGCCTACCAATCTCCCGCTTCTTCGCAGAGGGTTCGCCCCCATGTTTGTCGGTGTTTACCCATGTGTTTTTGCGTGGGCCACCTTTAACAAACTGGGAGAGTTCCCCCTGGCGAATAAGGCGCTCGATGGCCTTCTTCAGTGTGATGCAATCGTCGGTGTTGTGCGACGAGTTCTTGTGGAACCGGCAGTATGTGCCGCCCTGCTGGATGGCAAGGATCTCCTCGGCCGGCCGAGGAGCCTGCTCAATGAGGCCGTGCTTCTCGGCATAATCGAGGATGGTGCCGACCGGGTGAGTGAGGGAGACCCCCGGCCGTTCCAACCTCGGCCGCCAGTGGCGATCTTTCTTACTCTGTCCACCAGAGCCGTGACGGCCCTGGGCACCCTGGCCGGCCGGGGACGGACCCGGGGCCGGCGAAGGATTTGTCTTCTTGGAGGGATGGCCCCCCTCTTTCTTGTGATTATGGAGCTCGTCGGCGTCGGCGTACAAGCCTCCGCGCTGGAGCGCCTTGGCGTACGACCTTGGGGGGTCGGTGATAAGGCTCCTAGCGTACGGGGAGCTGCGGAGGGCTCCCTGATACAAGGCGAGGAGGGTGCGCTCATCGGCCCCCTCGACCTCCTCGGTTTCCCTCGTCCACCGATCAATGAATGACCGGAGGGACTCCTCGTGCTGCTGCTTGACGGAGAGGAGGTGGGTGAAATACTTCCTCGCACGCTTCCTCCCGGCAAAGTGAGTGAGGAAGCGTTGGGCGAGATCCTGCCATGAGTCGATGCTCCCTTCGGGGAGCGCGTTGAACCACTCGTACGCTGGCCCCTCGAGAGTAGAGAGGAACCAACGACAGAGGTATTCGTCGGACGCGTTCACCATCAGCATGTTGTTCTGATAACGGCTGAAGTGTTCCTGGGGGTCTGATCGGCCGTCGTAGGACTTGATGGCGTTCCCCCTGTACTTCTCCGGGATGGGGGCCGAGAGGACCCTGTTGGTGAAAGGGGTCCTGGTCCTGACCTGGATGATGGGGTCACCACGCCCCTCGGCCAGCTCCCTCTCCAGGGCGATAACCTTGTTCATGAGCGCGTTGAGGTCGGGGTCGTTGGAGGCGCCGGCCGTAGGGATGTTGGCCGACTGCTTGGCTTCCATCTGAGCAAGCCTCCTTTCCAGCTGGGCGATGACTTCATCCCGGGGGTCCCTGGCGGCCGCAGCGGCGCCCGACTGGTTCCTCATGCGCTCGTCGTGAGCCGCATTGATCCGGTGGCGCACGTCGTCTTCGTGCAACTTCCCCTTGCCCTAGTCCGGGCGGGGCTGGTCCGCTGTCCGGGACACAGACCCCAAGCTCTCCCTCGGCGAGCCAGGACGAGGCTCACCAATCCGTCCCGCCATCCTCTCCGAAACCGGACGACGGCGCGTGTCACCTAGCCTGTTGAAGGCATAGGCTTTTCCACGCGCTGGGGTCTGCCCAGGCCGAAGAGGGGAAGCAGGGTGGGAGTGGGACGACGCCGTGTCCTGGGCCACCACCCCCTCATCGTTGCCTATCTGGACGGCCAACGGTTGGGGCTGAGGAGGTTGAGTGACGTTCCCCCCGGTCCTTGGCAAGAGTGCGCTGAGGATTGTGGGGTTCTGAGCCAGGCTGGCGCTGATGGCCGACAGCGCGGCCTGGACCTGTGGATCCACGGACGGAGAGGCTGCGGCCATAGGCTGGGCCGGGGCGTGATCCGTCTTCTCAGCTCGTTTCTTGTCCAAGCCGAGGCGGGCATCAGGGGCTCCGCCGTTGAGTTGGTTGCGGAGGTCCGTCGTGAGGTTGAAGGCCTCCTGGAAGAGGTCCCCTCCGCCGACCTGGTCGGCCGTGGCGTCCTCATCGTGCTCCCTGGGCTCTTGGTCCTCAGGGATGGCCTTGCTGACGAGGTTGCGGTTTGACTTAGTTCTTCCCATGATCAGTGGTTAGCTGTGCTTGGTAGCGACGAAGGGTGCTAACTTGATTGTTCTAGCTCTCAACGAGAGCACCAAATGATAGAGTATATCTAGAGAGAAGTGAGAGCTAGAGAGAGAAGTGCAATAATATGCTTCAATAGAATGATTTTGTAATCCCTATAACTACTCCCAAGGGGAGTATTTATAGAGAAAATACGGGCTGGGCTTCCAATCCTTGGGCTTGGGAGGCCCATTTACAACTGGACCGCTACTGGGCCGAATACAAAGCCACTAATAGGCTATACAAATGAGTAAGTGTAGAATCCGGTTCTGTGGAGTCTTCGGGGCCGACGAGGGCGTGGCCGACGAGGGCGTGGCCGACGAGGGCACCCGGGTTCCTTGGCTTCAGGACCATAATCTGAGTTGGCACCTTTTCAGCCGACGGGGGTCCCTTGGCCGATGAGGGTGCCACTCTGTGTCTTGTGCTTTCTGTTCTTCCGAGTATGTGGGTCCGGGGGCTCAGACCCATATACTCCATCAAAAGGAGATTATGGGATGGGAACAAAGATACCATACATTCAATGTGCTATGAATCGGAAGTACCACGCACATGCATGAACTCTACAAGTAATAAATGGTAGGCCAGGCTACTTATTAAAACAAACGATCGATCGAGTTGCCTACCTTCAATTCATCACATCTAACCACTACCCACCAACCATTCATAAAGACTCCCTGCCCCACCTATAACACGTCTTTGCCATCTGGCCGCCACTTTAACAGTTTTGTTTTGAAAAACATATCAGTTCAATAACTTCTATTTAAATTAAACAGCTACAAAGTTGGAAGCAGGTTGAGGGTACTTTAAAATGCTTTTCATTTTTTTATTACACAAAAATCATTTATTTTATCATATACTATCATACTACTCACTTTTACTTTTTGAAAAACAGTTTTTGTCAAACATTACTAATTTTTACGGAGTACCATTAAACACTTTCTCTAAACAGTTTTTAAAACTGTAAGTAGTAGTAAACACTTCCATAGTACCACGTACTATACCTCACTCCCCAAATTTTCACTGTTCTTTCTGTTTTCAATTGCTTACCTCAAGATAAACTTTGCTTTCCTTGAATGGTAAAAAATTTGCACCGTTCATATTTTGTCTCTTCTTACAAATTCTTCGGAGATACTGTGGGAACACTCTTTAGAGCCCGTTTGGTAACACTGAAATCGGCTGAATCGGCTGATTTTGCTGAAATTTATGAAGTTCTGGTTGAAATGGCTGTATTGGCTGATTTTGCCGATTCATAACAAAATTAAATTTAAAATATACTCTATTAATAAAATAAAGAAAAAATTATATGTAAAAATAGCTAAAATGGTCCTCTACAGTAACTTCAGCCGATACAGCCAGAAAAGTAACTCCAACCTTACTTTTTCTGCTTATTACAAAATTCAGCGCGTGAAATCCAAAGTTACGTGTTTGGTGAAAAAGCTGGCTGATAAGCCTGATAAGCCGAAAAAAGGGCTCACCAAACGGGCACTTAGTGTGAACTATTATTGGTGCAAAGTTTGGCAGAAATAAACTAAAGCATTAGGCCATCTCCAACGTTTAACACCATTTTTTACACTAAAATGGTGTAAACATCACATCAAACAGTATTCTATCTCCAACATTTTACACCATTTTCATCACCAAAAAGGAATATTCTCTTTTTATTCTTTTTACTAACTTTTTACCATTCTTCTATTTAAGCATCTAACTATCTTATATTTATACATTAGCCCCTCATTTAATATTTTGACATTTCACACATTATTTTACACATACAAACTAAAATACATCATTTTAATATGTATTTTCACGCATTTCACTAATTAAAACACAATAATCAATATGTCACAAATACAAGCTAAAATTAGTATGTACTATGTATGTTTTTTATTATGTTTTAATTTTTATTATAATGGTGTTATTAATTGTAATTCTAATTATGTTATTTTCTTAAGTACCATTTGTTTTCTGTTATTATGTTGTTTGGATTTGAAACTTTATTTATAATATTGTGTGATTTAAATGTTATTATATCTTTTTTATCAAATTAATTGTTTTGATTGTTGTTGTATAAGAATGTTTTTACTTGGACTGTAATTTGTTTCAGATCAGATCAAACCGGATTAGACCAAACTTGGGTAGTTATAAAAATACAAAGAAATCAGACCAGGCCACATCAATTCAGACCAGACCAGACCAAATCAGACCGGACTAACAAATTTCAGTCCAAGTAAAATTTCCTAATTTTTTGTTTTAAAAATGGGTCAAAACTATAATAACCAAAACTTTGGGTCACATTTGAAAGAAAAAAAAATACAAAAAGAGGATGGTGCAAGAAAAGGCGTACGCCATATATAGCGCAAACCATTCCCCCCTCCCCCATTTTGGTGTAATGGTGTCAAATTTGGTGTTATTGTTGGAGCATTTTTTTTGCCAAATACACCATTTTAGTGTTGAAGATTGATGCTTAGCTTGTTGGAGATGGCCTTAGGCCAGGCCGGTAGTACTCCGCGCGTATTATTTTCCCTTTGCAAACAATATTCGTAGAAAATTTTAAGTGAGACTGTATCGAGACTTATATATCAGACTATAACAGATTTAATATAATTAATAGATCATACGCACACATATATATCGGGCAAGAATAAACGTAAACAAAAAGAAGGAACACTTGGATTCAATTCTGGCAATTCTTAAATAACAGTATATTTTGTGCCACAAAATTTAGTCGAATTGATTTTTAAACTTTGAACAACATACTTCCTCCGTCTCTTTTTAGTTGAAACAGTCAACATTTCACGTTTTCCAACGCACAACTTTGACCGTCATTATATTTAATTCTGTATTAATAAAAATAAAATAAAAATTAGATTATAAAACTTAGTAATGAGACGAATTTAACAACATTTTTCAAAAAAATTAATTCACAATCATTAATAAATAAAATGAAGTTAAAGTAAAGTACATGAATAGTGTATATATTCCAATGTTGCAATTAATGAGATACGGAGAATAGTATTTGTGTTAAATTTATGTATTGTTGTATGAAAGTACTTTTTTGGCAAACTGTATGAAAGTACTTTTGAGAAGGAATTTTTCATATTACTCATATTTCAATCAATTTCATATTAATTGATGGTCCAAATTTAACATTTTTTATTAAGAAAAAATGTTGAAATCTCACGCTGAAAAATTGTGAAGTACGGAGTAATAAATTATGATATTGCCATCTGGACTACCAACTTCTTCTCGTTTTGAAGGTTAACTTTTTAAAATTAAATGAAACTTCAAATTTTAACATTGTATCAAAGCAAAAAAACTCATGTGCCCCCTATAAAAAAAATGGCAATGATCAATAAAATGCACATGTGCTATCAAACTTGCCGGTAGATTAAACAATAAAATGCACATACATTTGGTTAGAGTATATACTTAGCTTCCTCCGTTCTTTTTTAATTGCAACAATCCACTTTTCACGCTTGTCAACACATAAGTTTGACCATTGATATCTTTAATTCTCTGTTAGTAAAATAATTAAAAAAATTAGATTTTGAAAATTTAATTTGAGAGGAATTTAAAAATATTCTTTAAAAATTTAATTTATAGTACATAAATAAATAAAAAATAGTCAAAGTAGAATATGTGAATAATGCAAAAAGTCTAAAGTTGCAATTAAAAGAGAAGGAATGTAGTATATAGTCCGTGTATATATATAGACACATGCATATATACACCGTAGCTAGCTATAGGTGACGTCCCATGTATATATATGGATCAAAAGAAACATTTAGGCGCACTAATAAAATTAGCTTCATTCAACACGTATCTACCTGCAGGTAGCTCTGATCTATCTTCTGAGGATCCGATCGATCTGAATTGAAGCAGCTCGGCAGCGCAGAAAGTTAAGCAAGAATGAGTGGCGGTGGGTCCTCATCATCAAGGAAGAAGAAGCTGCCGCTGCTTCTTCCAACTCTGCTTCTTCTGCCGCTGCTTGTGACGGTGGCAGCTGAAGCACAACAACTGACATGCAACGACGTCGTGAGCAGCCTCTCACCCTGCCTCAACTTCGTGATGGGAGGCAACACGGCTGCTGCTTTGCCGCCCGCGGGGTGCTGCGGCGGGATCAAGTCATTGTTCGCCGCCGCTCAAACCACCCCGGATCGCCGCACTGTCTGCACTTGCCTCAAGACCGTTGCTTCCAGCGCCACCACCGCTCAAATCGGGCGCGCCGCCAGCCTGCCCTCCGCATGTGGTGTCACCATACCGTACAAGATCAGCCCTCAGCTTGACTGCTCCAAGGTCAACTGATTCAAATTATTGAGGGTCAATCAATTCAATAATTACGCATTGCATATTATATATATTTGCATGCATGCCATGCCATGCATGTTATTGAATTTCCTTTATTTTCCCGATCCATCTCCGCGCGTGTTCGCATGTACTAATTGCATGCGTGGTCGATTTTATTCCATGCCAAAATATTGTACGATCAAATAATTCATCATCATCATCATCATCATTATTATTATTGTTTAATTAATACTTTCTCCGTCTCGCTAAGATTGTTTCATACAGAGCCCGTTTGGAGACCTCTTTTTTCGGCTTATCAGGCTTATCAGCCAGCTTTTTCACCAAACACGTAACTTTTACTTTCGTGTGCTGAATTGTGTAATAAGCAGAAAAAGTAAGGTTGGAGTTACTTTTCTGGCTGTATTGGCTGAAGTTACTGCAGAAGACCATTTTAGCTATTTTTACATGTAATTTTTTCTTTTATTTATTAATAAAATATATTTTTAAAATATTTTTTTCTTGAATCAGCAGAATCAGCGAAAACAGCCACTTCAGCCAGAACTTCATAAATTTCAGCAGAATCAGCCAAAACAGCCGATTTTCGTGCTACCAAACGGGCTCACAAAATTTAGCAAAGTTCGTATGACTCTAAATCATTTTTAATTTATTCTTACTTTATGATTTAAACTATCTCATTTTTCTTAACACTCATGTTATTACCCTTTTCAAATGTTAATGGGGTAGGGGTGGGCACGGTCCGGGTCGGTCCGGGTAATTGATAAATTTTCAAGAACCGTCGGTTCCATTTAACGGGTAGATTCGGTCCGGGTATACCAAGTTTCGAAATAGGAACCGAACCTTACCCGCCCCGTTTGAAACGGGCCGGTTCAGTCCGAGTCCTTGGTTCTTCATTTGTAAAAAAATACGGCTATATGCACACAAAGTTTCTAGTAAGTTATAAAATTCTAAAATTAATTACCTATTAATGTAACCAAAATATAATAAAAATTCAAAATATAAGTGTAAGACAAAATTTTAAATTAGATAACAAAATATCGAACCACAAATCTATAAATTAAACAACACACAACCACCTTAATCAAAATGTTAATCATCATTTATAAACTAATTTAAAAGATAGCACCATAAATTCATAAGAAATTAAACTAGTTACTATACATATTTGTCTATGAAATTAATTTAAAGCTTATTAAATCTCCAAGTATAAGTAAAATTAAGATAATTAAATGAATATGTCACACTTCATTGAGTAAGAGTCTTTGTTTACAAAAAATATTAAAGAAAGAAAGTTTGATGCATTCGAATTGAAATAAAGAATAGAGGAAAATAATTTAGGAGTTTAATTATACGGAGTTGAAAATTATTTTTAGTAGAGTACAAAATTTCTTTAATTGGAAGTTTTTCTCTAGACACAAGAACATGAAGAACTTTCGTGTCTTATTAGTATATTATATTATATTAATATTAAATATAATAGAGATTATTAAAATAATATTTTATAACGGTTCGGTCCGGGTACCCGTTTTTTCAAATTTTAAGACCCGTTCAGTTCCTAAGTTTTTCAGGACCCGCCCCGCCCCGAACCGTTTGGCTTTTCTAAAATTAGAACCCGACTCTAACCCGCCCTGACCTTGTATTACCCGGCCCAACCCGCGGTTCCAGTACCTGTTTGCCCACCACTAGTATGGGGTGTTTGGTTAGTAGCCTATCAATCAATTTTTGGCTGATTTGACCAATTTTGGCCATTTGACCGAGTCAATCAGCTAAGAGAAGTGTTTGGTTACATGACATTTTCATTTGGCTTTTTATCCCTAACAGCCAAATATGAAATGCTATAAAATGTAGCTTTTTTAAATGGCTTTTCCTAAAATTTCCCTTACTACCCTGCCTCCTCCAAATGCCAATGCTCCCTAAAATCAATGACAAAAAATTAATTTCCACTGAAGAGAACAATAATGCAGGAGGGAGCAACTAAGCAAGCATGCATGCGTTTGAAAAACTATTCTTTTCTAGATTATATCCAATTTAGCTTTAAATTAGTTGTGTGCATTTATTAAAATATACTAAGTACTTCTTATGTCAAAATAACAATAATAATAATAATAATAATAACAATAATAATAATAGTTATAATAAAAATAATAATAAAAGTAATAATAAAAAAAAGTAAAAATAGTAATAATAATATTTTTTTGGAAGATAGTAATAATAATATTAATAGCTGTAATAATAATAGTAATAATAGCAATAATAGGAGTAATAGCAGTAATAATAATACTAATAATAGTAATAATACTAATAACAATAACAACAACAAAAACAACAATAATAATAATAATAATAATAATAATAACAACAACAACAATAATAATGATGATGATAACAAAAACAATGAGAATGATAATTGTTGGTCCAAAATAGGGCGCTCGTAGGCTTTTAGAAAAGCTACGTACGACACTCAAGCAGGAAATCAGGAAAATAATGCAAATAAGGAAAGAAGCTAAAAGTGTTTAGTTGCCAGAAATAGCATCTAGAAATCGTCTCCCCTAATCTAAATTACAACCCACCTCTTATAGGCGTATACAAATCATAACCGTTACCGATAATAATGACTAATTAATTACAACATTAATACGGAATTAAATACATAATTAATAGCGCATTAATTGCTTGACCGTTACTCTTCCGGGCTGGGAGGTCAGCCGGACTGGCAGGCTCCCCGCTGGGCTGGCAGGCAGGCTCCAGATTGTGGACTTGGATCCATGGGTCCAAGTTCGAGGCTTGGGCTGATTAAGCTCTGGGCCTAGTCCCATTACTCCATTGCGAGTCCCCCACTCCATTAGTCGAGTAGTAGACTCGGCTAAGAGGGAGTAGTCCAAGTCAGTTGCACTTTTCCGAGACTAGAAGATCCATGCCCTTATCCATGTTGGGGAGATGCCTCATTAAAAACCTTCATTAGGAAAAAAACCCAATGGGAAAAAAATCCCGATGAAGGGAAAAAGAGTACATCTGACGCCCCCAAGATGAAGCAAGATGTGAGATCCTCAACTTTTATTGCAATGGTCACCATCTGCGAATAGGATGGCTAGATCTGTTCTTCTCGTCGGGCTCAGACTCGTCAGGTTCTTCATTTGCTTCCTTGAAGACGACAAGACCCTCAGTCCCCCACTTCATTCAATTGTACCTACACATAAAAGAAACTAGAGTAGAATAGAGCATCTAGCTTGGTTTCGAACCACGGCTCGGTGTGTAATTGAGTCGGACTCACTACTTGAAAAGAATCACATCAAGTTCCCAAGTTAGGCCTCAACCCAGTCTCCGAAAGAATGATTGAATCCGCGAGTAAGTGAGTCGGACTCCTCACTCGAATGGATAATCCAACCCCAAAGAACTAAAGTATATCAACCTTTTCGAGAAATGTGAATGTCACTTAAGTGACAAAATTGCTCGGAAGAGCGTGGCTCTAGGCCCCTAACAAGAGTTTAACTCGCCGCCCGAGGTTAGTAGTTCGAACCCGCAAGTAAAAACTTTTGAACGGGTGACTCGTCCCCCGAGATCGGAGTGTGATGCACTTGGAAAGGGTAAGAGCACGCAAGAACTCGTATGAAGTCAAGAGTGTGCGGCATTAAAATTTATATTGGAGCTTATTAATCGCCACACCCATATGACGTGACCCGGTGGAGCGAGTGTGTGTGCTCGGCCAGTGTACGAGTGTGTGTGCTCGCCTGATGTACGTGAGTGATCGGATTTCATAAGTCTGTTTTTCAATGTTAAAATTACACACGCTTAACAAGAGTAAAAGCAATTAAACCACTTAAAATATCTTTTCAAATGTTTCAATTTACGATTTTTTTTAAATCAAATTCTTTTGTGTTTTGGAGTACTTAACTTTTGAAAGGGCTTAAATTTGAAGTCTTGAAATTGTGGCCCATCATCATTGAGGACCCATTGTGAAATTGTTGAAAGCTCTCCAACACGTTTAAAGTTGACTGAGTCAACTGAAGCCCATACACCAAACTCATGTGGCTTCTGCAAACGACATACTGACATAGGCAAGCCAGTGAAGCCACGGTTTGAGAGGAGGAGATATCTTCGTCACTGCTGGGCACTGGTTATTGCCGCTGTCGGGAGGGATGTAAGGCAGAGTTGCCGCTGCCGGTTGGAGAGGGGAAGTACCTGAATCGTCTGCCGCCCGTGGATTCATAGCTTGACTAGAAGCACGTGGTTGTCTGGTTGACCCACCGACTCCAACCGGCGAACTGACAACTTCTCCCGTCGATGTCTTAAGATCTGAGGAAAGTGGAGCCTGCCGCTGATAGCCTGATAATCCCTCCTGTGCGGCTTGACTGAAGGAAGATGGAGAAGCCGACCTCCATTTCGAAATCTAGGTTTCAGCAACCCCAAGCCAGATCCCGCAGGTCGTGTGACTCGCGTCAATGGTGAGATGGAGGATCGAGCGACTGCTGGCACAGTGGACTCGTTCGAACTATTGCTCTTTGGGTGGCTTCCAGCGGGTTCAAGGCAGTACGGGGCGGCCGTATAGCGGAAGAGATTTTCCTCCGACCACAGGAATGGATCAGGTCGGGTCTTCTGGCAATGCGTGCTGGGACGACTATTAAAGACCCCGCACATGAAGAATCCACAAATCCGGACCTTCTAGAGAAGCATCCTCTTCCTCAGCTCACGATGCTGGGAGGAACTCCGTTTCTGTTGTGGCGCACAGTCCAGCCGGCTCTGTCGCCTCCCTTCTGGATTTTTGTGTGTATTTTATGGTTAATTCCTACTCAAGTGATGTGAGAGACAATAGAGACTCTCAATGAAAGCACCACGTTGGTCCAAAATAAGACATTCGTAGGCTTTTAGGAAAGCTACGTACGACACTCAAGTAGGAAATCAGGAAAATAATGCAAATAAGGAAAGAAGCTAAAAGTGTTTAGTTGCCAGAAATAGCATATAGAAATCGTCTCACCTAATCTGAATATAATTGCATTAGGATTATAATTGCATGTAGAATAAATTAAGAGAGATCTAGTTTATTCTCAGACACATTCACACACACTTAATCGTTCGCTAAGAGATTAGTAGCGATTAAGGGGTCGTAAGCTCGCTCATTTTGGCAATAGTTTAGGATCATGTCGCATGACAGATCTGCATGGTCCCCTAAATTATTGTACTCTACACCGCGAGAGCGGTAAGAACTTAGTAATGATTAGCTAGGCACAATTAATTTAATTTCATGT